ATGGTGGCATGTGCCTGCAGTCCCAGCTACTGACTCAACATCTCTAGTGGTGAGGTCAATAAATCTGTATTTCTTCTGCATGCAAAAATTTGAGCAGCACTGTGCTACCAGCCTTCTTCCCAAGTCTCATTCTGTGTTAGCCCTGCAAGTGCCCAAGCTTTAGGACAGAGGTGCCAGGAACTGAGCGCTCATCGCTTATTTGACACTGGGGCCCGATGCTGTGGGCCACACACTTCGCTATCACTTTCTGTAACCACGCAACAACTGCTGAAGAAGGTTCTCAGGCTCTTTAGGAAAGAGCTTTACATTCTGCATGCGAAGACAGTGATCAGAAGGGATGACAAGTCACGTCTATTTCTGGAATATGAGGAAGAATCAATTGTAATTGTGAGAATACCTCTATGTTAAACCTTCCGGTAACACTTTTACTACAAAATAGGAAAGAGAGAAGCTTACTATGGACACAGAAATCAATGTCTCTGGATTTCAAGGGAAAATAAAGGAGCTTTAAAAAAACAGAAGCAGCCAAGGGCAAATGGTCAAATCTCTCGCCTAAAGAGGAAGAACGTTTGTGTCCACTTTGAAATGAGTGAACATATACAACCTGTTGTGTTGCCAGATGCTTTGACCTAACACATCCCAGGTACTATATTTTTAATTTGTTGGTGACTCAGAGGCACTCATAGGGTGATCTGGCAGAATCCATGAAGACGATTTTTGCTATTGCTTTTAATGGTGAAAGCAGCAATTACTTTTGTACCAACATAATGTTAACAGTTACTTATAGATATCTCTCTCATCAAAATGCCTGAAATGCCATTGTTAGAGATGCGTTGCTTATGGCTAAATATTTCATCCAGGCATCTTTCCTAACAGATCTGGGGAGATATGGCCTGTTGACATTAAAATCCCATTGTGAGATGGGACTCTGGAGAACTGGAGCATGTGGGGATATTGGGGTGGAGGAAAAGGAGGAAACTTTGCAGAAAGGAAAATAATAACTTTCTTAAGGTTTACCTTGTGTGAATCCATCACTCTTTCTAACACTTTGTGAAGCTCCAGCTAACCAGCCTAGAGCCAACTTTAAAAGCTGACAGCCCTGCCTTCATCAAATACCCCTGGTCAGAGAACCCTGAGCAGAGACACAGTTGGTCCCTTTGACATTGGTCTGTGATTGAAGAAAGGGCAATTTCTTTTGCCAGTGGGCCACTGCTGCCAGCCAGCTGTGGGCAGTGCTAGATCTTCCTCCCTTCACCTGTTAATATGCAGCCAGGTCACATGCCAGACCCTGACATATGCCTCCTTCACTTTCTGATCTCCTTTTCCAAATATCTCCATCACCTCCCATTCACATCTGTAATTGTACTCTTTGGGTCTTGAAGACTTCAGAAATCCCTTCTAACATGAAATATAGCTGGGTGTGATCATACTTTGTTTTCTGTTATCTCCTTAAACATGACTTAATTCAGCAGATACTAATTGATGGTCATTGAGAGCAAAAAGGAGACAATTTGGGAAGATTATGATATGATGATGCCAAAATATTTTGCACAGAGGAGGACTTTGTAGAGATGTAGAAAGGACAATAAAAAATAAAGTGAAAAAATATAATTTACCAAGATAAATAACAAGTTGTTCTTGTATGTAAAATATGTGAAAGAGTTGTAAGAGGCCCCAGAATTTGTGAATGGGAGTCATTTAAGGCATTGGGTTTTTTCTTTAAAGTTGCTATTTAATAGGATTCAGATATTTAGATACATTTTCTATAGCTTCAGTGTATACGTATATATGTTATATGTAACAGGTATATGACATATAATATGTCTATTTATTACATGTATTTGTTTAATTTAGATATAGCAGAGGACAAAAATGGAGGAATTTCTGAAGGAACTAGATTGTAAACCAATTTGAAAAAGCAGGTATTGAAGGAGAAAATTGCCATTTAGAGGAGATGGCATAAGCTCATGGAGGGGGAAACCACACATAAGGGGGCTACAGGCTGCTTGAACGAGGCAGAGTGGCCAAAGGGGTGAGGCTGGCGGTGTGAAGTTCAAGCCAGGTGGAGGGAGCAGCTGATGAAGCAATCTGTAGGGGCAGCCTTGGTGTGGATCTGGAGGGTTCCCAGTAAGCTCCTGGGCAGACGGATGACTCCATATGAAGACTGTGAAGGTGGCACTGGACAGACAGCTGGGTCAGGGCTATTGAAGGAGACAGGGGACTAGAGGGAACTAAAGTGTCTGGTTGATCTCCAGCCATACACAGGTGAGTCTGACGAAGTGGGCAGAAATAATGTCTCCACCTCTTTCAGGGTGGGTGTGGAGGATCTGCTCTCATTTCCCTCATCTAGGCAATTTCTTGCATAAAGATGAAGAGACTCGGAGGGATGGTTCCCTCTAGGTAAGGCTGCAGAGTGGGTCAGGTGGTCCTTTTCAGATAGTCCTTGCCCCTCCCCGCAGAAGGGGCTCAGGCTCCCTTCTGTGCATCATTTTTTGAGATGAACTATTAGGAAACCCATCGTGTTCAGGAAGCTGAGTCTTTTGCCTAGTGGTAGAACAATGACACATGCATTCTGGCTGATGTCTGGCTCCATTTTTGGAACCCATAACAATTATTCCCTTAAAATTCCAGATTGAAATGGAGAACTGAAATCTGAAAGTGGCTCTTCAAATGAGTGGGGCAATGTGTTTTAAGCATTTAATCTCAAAAGAATCCACTCACCTCCTCCGATTATTTTAGAGGCTGACTTTCTCTGAGAATAGAGAAGCAAAGAGAGGAAACTCATTTTGATCTCATGTACTCTTAGTCAGTTTAGGGGGCTGAGGCCACAACTGGTGTTTGAAGAGAAAAATATAGAGCCCCAAGTGGAGCCAGGAAAGCTTCCATTTTCTTCTCGGCCTTAACACACCCTCAGCAAATGATTGAAGCCTGGGAAATTATGAATATCAGATTAATTGAACAGGAAAACCAGTGAACAGCTGCAATTTTCTGCCATGGAATTTTTTGTTTTTAATTTAAGTGATAGGAAACCATTTTATGCATTGGGTTTTCCAAATTGATTTCAAGAGTGTACTATGCTAATATGTGGTAATTTTACACAATAAAAAATTGGGGAATTTTAGGCATGAGAGTTGCATCATGATTGTTATACTTATTTGTTCTCTGATGAAAGAAAAGAAGATTGAACATTAAAAGCTGAAGGTCATCCATACAGTTGTCCCAATAGCAATCTGTGTACCTTTAACCCTGAGGAGGAAAAGTAATTACCCTTTGGCTTCTGGTGACCTCAACTAACCTTTGTTGAAGGGCCAGAGAAAATAAAAGCTGACCATCAGCCTGCCCTGGCTGCCCTGGGCTTAACCTGCTGTGTGAATGAAGAACAACCCAACAATAGGATGAGAGGATGTTGCCATGGAAATAGGCCTGGACGAAGGAGCAAAAATCAGAAATTTATCACAATTAATTGTTCTATTAAGAACCTCCCATCTTTTGGATTATTCTCTGGGGGTAGGGATGGAAGATCTGTTCTCATTTAGATCTTATGAGAGAAAATTCTGCTTGCATAAATGAGGCAGCCCATATAGTAAAACCATTCTAAGTAGTGGCGAGAATTGGACAGATTTGTGAGAGACGGAAGGATCTATATCTCCTCATAATCTATAAAGATGCGAATGCAAACAGCCAGGACGAGGGCCAAAGAACCTCATTCTATCAGGGGAATCAGCTGAAGTATGGGTCTGGACATACGTCTTTTTAATATTTTCAGTAGACTGTTGCCTGCGCTTTCATGCCTTGGCAAGGTCTGCAAAGTACAGGTAATGATATTTTTACAGTACAGAAATGTGTTGTCATATTTTATTCTGCTGATTTAGCCTTTCTGTTAAATAGAATCCAAGTTCTATGTATTTTTAACATGAGCTTGTTTAGATTAGAAAATAGAAACTTGCTATCCAATTATGTTCAGATTAAACTAGACTAATCCATGATGCTCTGGGTGCAATAGACTAATTGCAGAAAAAAGAAATAGAGTGAGAAATAGTTCTTTTATGGAGAGCCTACAAGTTATCTCTTAGGTAGAAGCAGATGTATTTAAAAGTAATAATATTTTTATTTTTAACGTGAGAATGTTTTCATTTATATTCATCATACAAAGATGAAATTAGACTTTAAAAATGTGGATTTTTGATCAGTTCTTTCATTTATTTGTATTAAATGGATTAATTAATTATTGAGCAAAGGACTGTATGTCAACTTAACTTCTTTTTCGCATGACAGATAGCAATATGAAACACTATTTGCTGTATTTCCTAAACAGTGAGTTACTCGTGTTAATCAGTTTTTAAAATAATTTGTGGTGCTAAAACAAAGCAGGTGGTTAAGCTCAGACATTGATTTTCTCTTTAATGGGTATTTCATCGGTGAAATTTTAACCACCGATGAAGGAGAATATAAACCGTAGTAGGCGTTCACTGAAGACTCTTGCTTACAGTGAGAAGATATGTTTTTCTGTCACAGTGTAAGATGCCAACATGAGTTTCATCCATGAATTTATGAACCTATGAATTTTAACTCCAGATGTTGATAAGAAATTAATCTCATACTGGGGAGCATTGTCAGCTTTCATTAGAACTTGGGAAGTTTACATTTGGTAGAAATAAACTTTTTAAACGACAGGACATGTGTTGGAAGTCTGTTAACTAACAATGAAATCCAGCTCTTGGACTTCTTATTTACCCATCTGCTCCCTGCAGTTAGTTTAGTACTCGTTTGGTGCGATTCTGGTATTGTTAGGGCCAGGATTCTGTTTGCTAACCCCCAGGTACCTGTGGTTGGAAGGCCCATCTCAAATAATATAATAGACTTGGCCAAACTCATTGAACACTCTCCGTGGCCTTTGGCAGGCTTTTAAGCTTTTTCTCTGCTATAGATAACAGGTTTTCTGAAGTGGCAGCAACATAGCTCTAAAAATACATCTACAATAAGGTCCTAGTTGTACTTACCTTATAGTTCAGCAGCACCTCGCTGGTGGCGATCATGCTTCGTAATTTCCATTTGCTTTAGTTTGCTGGTAAGCACATACCTGCTTGTTGGGTGCTAAGAGTGTTCTTTCTGGCTAAGATGTTTGCAGCATTGGGCTTCGTCTTTAGAGTTCTCAGTTTATTTGGACCCTCTCCAGGTTTTCTCTGTTTATTAACCCTCACCTGGACGGCGTGGCTGAGGCAGTGGAACCAAAAGTAAAGATGGTAATGGGTTTCTGTTGTTTCACCTGTCTGGACCAATAGAAGAATGAAAAGGAGAATGAGGAGCAAGATCAAAATGTAAAAAACAGTGCTAATCTTTCCTTACGTAGAGAGAGGCAGCAGATATCTACCTGGTCTTCCCCATTTAAAACGATTATGCATAATTTCTGCTGGTTTGGATAATCAGTTCTGTATTATGATTATGGAAATATATTTCATTATGTACAGTTTGCTTATGGACTACATTTTTATTGTTCTCAATTTTGTTCAGAGGAAAAAAATTATATATGTTTAGTGAAGTTTACTTAGAAATCTTCGCAAAATAATTCTGTAAGGAATAGGGTAGATCAAATCTCTCAATGACTAGATATTTAAGTGCAGACGTGAGAGTATTTGCTGATTTATAACTAATAAAGCTTCAACTTAACTGCTCTTCAATGACACCTATAAAAATGGTATTAAAGTGTGATGAGCAATTTAAAAGACAAGGACTACTAGAAGAGAAGAGTTTTTTATATTTTGTAGCTATCTGCACTTTATTTTTAATCTTTTATTCTATGTGTACAAACTTAACTATGAAATAAATCCACAAACTGCAGTGTAAATGAGGAGCTAAATACGGTATGTAAGAATCACAAAAATAATTATGTCATAAATGAAAGCAAAAATTAGATGATAAATATATGTGTGGAAAAATGCCAAAAATTGCCATCCAGGACACTTTGAATGTACCTATGGAAAAACCAACATGGAATTTTGTGAAAAGGGTTCAAGATAATTTTTATAGGGTTAACATTACATATTTTAAACAGTATGATATTTAGTCAATAGAGTTGAAGATAATTTATATAAGGTAAACATACAAATTTTTAAAATTACATGGCATTTTGTCAAGAGAGTTTATGATAATATTGGGTTGAATAGACACTTTCAACTGAAGGGGGAAAAGCTATTTTAACAGTTTTTGGGTGTTAACACTACCAGCTCCCAATTAAGCAAACATTAACAACGTGACATTATTCTGACATACTCAGTATTTAAAATATCTTTCCATGGATTATGTGTGGTGTAATGAATCATATACAGAATATAGGATATTTTAGTGGAATATCAAACTGTGGTGTTAATACTGTGTCTGGGTTAAAGAACATGAAAACATCATAAAAAATTATATGGCATCAGTGTTCCTCATAAAAGGACATAATTCAGTCTTGTTCAACAGACTGATGGAAATGAAATGCTGTCAACCTTTCTACATTTTCAAGCACAACATATAAAGAAGGTAACTCATGAAAACAAATTTAGATCCATTTAAATACACCGCAGAAAACAAAGATATTCCAAAGAAATAGTCAAATATGCCTCTCATCAAGTCCTGCAAGGTTCATCCTGGATTGAAGCAGGGAATTTTATAAACGATTATGTTATTTAATAAACATGTATATATATCTCCATATATTATGTCATCCTGAAGCAAATGATTAACCCAGTTTAAAGTCACAACCACTAGAATTCAATATACAATAATACCAGGTATCCAGCTGTGAAGTAGCTGGGCTTGGGGCTTTCTATTTCCACCTCCCCACCACAAGCACATAACTACAGTTCATATCTAAGCTTTGAGTAAGAATATCAGCTACCTTAAAAGTTGCCTTCAGGATGAAATACCTTTAAATGCTGCAGCGCCCTGGATTTCCAGTTAACCAAACTATATTTCCAGCAGAAACTCCTGGGGTATAGAGTAGTTCTCGTCTGTAGGCTCTTCCCGCTGGTCTTCTTAGGAAGCGTTGCTGGAGCACTTTATTTATTTATTTTTAATCCTGTTGATAATTTGACTCTCTGTCAACTAATGCTTGCCGACTCATCACTAGTCTTTCTTAGGGTGGAGATGACTGGAAGGTTGAAGGACTGCAGGCCATACATCATTCTCCCCTTCTCAATGCACCTTAATATGAACATGGCATCATGACTCCGAGGAAAGGAGGGGAAAGCTGAGCCATCAGATATTCCACAAATTGCAGGCTTTCCCTATGTTCTGTAGTGCCGGAAAGGGGGATTATTACTGCAGAAAAAAAAAAAAAATCTGGCCACACTGTAGAAATAATCAGTGCAATTGAGCTCCCTGCTATCTCCCCTTGTTTCTTCTCTCTCTCTCTCTTTCTCTCTCTGTGTCTCTTCCTCTCTCTTTTTCTTGCTCTCTGTACGAGGCCCCAGCTGATTCAGGCTGCATCCAACCATACATAAATCATTCCCCTTATTCTATTGGTTACATGGTACATGGCAAGTATTGATTTTTTCCGTTGCCTCATTGCTGGAGAACACTTGGTTTTTGTGAGACAGAAAAAGAAAAAACCAAACCAAACCAAAGCAAACAAAAAAACCCTCACCAGAGTTTTGTCTAGATAAGAAATAATCAGGTAGATGTGTACCATGCTGATGATAAGTGCATTCTAAAAACAGCATACTTTTGGGAGGCCTTTTACTGTCTATTTGCATGTTCCCAATATCTCCTGTCTCAAAATTAAAAAAAAAATAAGAATTGTTTCTAGTGGTGGAGAGCTCTGGGCTAAGGACTTAGGAAGGATACACACAGAGAGAGATCTTCTCTAATTGTTCGGGGTAAGGAGGCAACTAACTGATCACTGCTAACTCCAGGAAAAAAAGAAAGTTTAGTTAAAACACGACTCACTCACAAAACAGGAATAAAGGGCAAACATAATGCCTCCTGGCCAAATGACAGCATACAAGACAGGAAGAAAGAGATGTTTGCCTACGTTTATTTTGTGTGGTGATAAAATGTGCAATTCCGCCTTGTTTGTGTGAAGTATAAATATAAAATACTGTCAATATATTGTATCTTGTAATACTCAGAGGCGGGAAATAGCAAAAAAGCAAGTGTGTCTTAGTTTAGGGTTCTGACATTTAATTCTTCAGAACCTAAGTTAAAACACACGGGAGTTTTAATATTTGTTGCCAAGAGCCATTTGTTTTAAAGTGATAGCAGCTCTTGGACTCTATCTGAAGGGGTTTTATTCCTGAAATATCAAAATGACTTCTTTATGGGGTAATGCTGTCCAAAGGAGCATCCCAATATATGAGGAAATTGTTATAACGAGGAAATCATTAGAAGAAGGTGATAGTGCTAAGGTAAGATGTGAAAAGATGGTAAAAACCCACTTTCATTTTATGAGCCTATGTTACAACTGATTATTAATCTAACAAAGGGCGAAGTTTAAGAACAAAACAATTCAGTGAGTTATACAGGTGGCAGGGTATTTCTGTTTTTTTCATTTTTTTGAGATGAGTCTCACTCTGTTGCCAGGCTGGAGTGCAGTGGCGTGATCTCGGCTCACTGCAGCCTCCGCCAGGTTCACGTCATTCTCTCGCCTCAACCTCCCGAGTAGCTGGGACGACAGGCGCCTGCCGCCGTGCCCGGCTAATTTTGTTTTTGTATTTTTAGTAGAGACGGGGTTTTACTGTGTTAGCCAGGATGGTCTTGATCTCCTGACCTCGGCCTCCCGAAGTGCTGGAATTACAGGTGTGATCCACCGCACCCGGCCAATTTTTGTATTTTTGGTAGAGGCAGGGTTTTACCGTGTTGGCCAGGATGGTCTTGATCTCTTGACCTCATGATCCTCTGGTGGCAGGGTATTTTCTTTTGTGTTCTACTTAGAGCTGTCAGCTAATACATTTACCATGTAAAAATTGCAAGTGAGAAGTGTAATGGCTTCTTTAACCTACTTTATGAAGTTAAAAAATTTCTTTTAAACCCAAGCCTTTACTCCTTACATAAACAGAGTCCATTAAACTGTCACCAGCCTCAGAAGTCAGACTATGATTTCTCCTTTTTTTTTTATTTATTTTTTTTCCACAAAAGTTGTGCTGGAGGATTCTTTTTGTCTTTTTGGTCTGTCAGTTTACCGTGTGGCCCTTGGTCCTTAATCCATGTTTATGATAAGGTCTGCCCAACAGAGGATTCTGTAGAGTTGAGCTGTGAGGGCTACCCAGGTAGAGCTGTGGCCAGCCCTTTGGGTGTTTAGCCTCTCAATGCACAGAATACTACTCATCTCTCTTGTCTTTATCAATCCCTTTTATGGAAGCACTCAGAGCTTCGCTTGTTACATTTAAGTACTGGTTTATCTACATTGCCATTTCAAGGGAAACCATGAATTAAGATGTGGGAGAAGGCCTTAGGAAATCTGCATGGAATTTTGTAGGTATTAATGTTTCGTTGTTTTGTGTGTTTGTTATAGTTTAGGGTTCCAGCCCACTACTTATTTTCTCAATCATCTCATATCCATGTATTGGAGAGAGTAAGATTGCCTGTCAACTTACCTAGGTGGCAAAAGAGTTCCTGAAGGACTTTGAACACTTTGAATTTAAAAGGAAACAGACAAGAAAATGACAAAAACTACAGGCAATGCTTTGAATCTGACCTTTTTTCTTTTCTCTGCCTCATCCTTTCCTAACTCAACAACTTGAACATGTTTTTTGACCATTGATTGTTGCCAGTGGTTTGCTGGGCTGAGGGGAAGCTGCAGAGCGAAATGCCCATGCCCCCTCCAAATGCAGTGGGCTCACTGGGCGAACACACAGGCATACAAACTTCTGCACAAGCAGAGGTGCACGTCCCACACATGGTACAGGTTTCTGCTGTGTAACTCTCGTACTCTCTATAGGTCTGTTTTTCTAGGAAAATCATATAAAACCTTAAGTAATGAATACCAAAAGTGCTCTTCATTTCAATGTTTTATTTTCATTCACTCTAACAAGATTTTAACTGACAAGCAGAGCCTTGCCCACAGTGGACACTCAACAGACATTTGTTTGTTTAGTTTGGTACAGTGTGGGCGCCAAAGGAGAGG